AGACCGGCCTTGAGGAGTCAAAGCACTTTGACCGATGCAAAATCAACCGATCAGATGGTCCCTATCGTATTCTGATCCTCGATGGCCACGAAAGGCATCACTCGGCCGACTTCGAGATATACTGTGAGGAAAATAGCATCATCACGCTCTGTATGCCACTTTCGCTCTTCCCAATTGCTTCAGCCGCTGGATGTCGGGTGCTTTGCGCCGTTGAAAATGGCGAGAAGAAAGCCATTCGATCAGAAGGTCCATAATCCATATCTCCAAGACCGAATTCTTTCCGATCTTTTATATCGCTTTTTAAGCTACTATGACGGAGAAGAATATTAAGCCCTAATTGCCGCTGAGCAAGCTTCGCTTTGTAAATATGCTCAACTATGGTTGCCGAAGCAGGAATTTCGGCTGGACATTGACTAGAATCGCGCCAAGAAACCATGCCAGCAGAAAGCAGACTGCCGGGTTGTAGGAAAACGTCTGCTAGCTCGGGGCGGAACATATTCCTAAGGGCATGGCTCCATGCTGAGTTCAGAGCGCAAGGAAATAACTATAAATAGGATTCTCCACTATCAAACGAAACTTGTTGGCTCAGGATCACTCACGACTATGGGTCCAGTCCAGCTATCGGCCTACATCCTGAATACTACATAAGAAACTTTTTGTACGCTTGTGGGATAGCCACGTAGACACGGCACTACCTTGGAAGTGATGTAGTAGTAGTAATTGTTCTGGCAGATACGCCACGCATAAGGTAGTCAACCACACAGGGAGGAAGGTGGACCTAAATGACACTACGGGAGAAGACCTCTCAAGGAAACATTGTTTCATCAATTGTTCGTTGCCGTGCCCATAGGGTACAAGGCCCGAGCTTGATCTTTGTGGAATACGTGATTTAAAGCTCGTATTCTATAAATATCTCTTACCACTTGTTAGGATTTGACAAGAAAGTCAGTTATGAGACTCCTAGCAATTGGACTGACCCTTGGAGAGAAAACAAAGCAGCTCGAACATATAACCCATCAGTACATCGAGCGTACAAGGCTCACTAATTGTACAACTAGACATATAATGAAAGTTTACCACATTAAATATAGAAGAAGGATACTAAACATACTATTTTGACAAGGCATGTCTTGGGGTACAATGTGGCACACGACTACCTCGCGAACGATGGGACCGCCAAAGGACTGTAGTGAGTCAAGGTAAGACTGGCAAAGGACGCAGGTTACGTGGTATGTCTGGTATTTGGACCCAGGCCCCAACGAGGAAACAGTTGTGCACATTTCTTCTTTTAGGGACAGTTGCTTACATATGCTAGACTATTCGTTAATATGCCGGTCAGAGGATATCATGGTTATGCCACTAAGCCTTTCTCGTGCCCACCAGCTTGCAGATTAATCACTAAATTGTTTGGATATATGTCCATATGGAGCTGAGCGACGATAGCAATGTCCATATGGAGTGACAATTTTGATCCCTGTAGGCCATTTCCTAAAATAGAGACGTTTAGTCTACATTTCGTTCCAGGCGTTAAAGCCCTCAGATGACTAAATCAGCATTTTGTATATCAAACTTCTAATGGCATGACTTTTGAACCGTGTCTCAGGAATGGCTGACAGGCCCACCTGAAGGTTGAAATCATACCATAATTTCTGTATTCTTCCAGCGGTGCTAAAAATAGTTCTGTTCATGATTTACGTGCCTTGGTAGTCTTCTACTTACACAGGTTGAAACGTGGAGTAGGCAGACTTTAGACTGTTTCATCTCCTGAAACAAAGAATAGTGCCCTTCCGAACCCCAAGTTCGGACGAACCGTGACACTTCTCAAGCCATATAAGGACTGGAAAGAACTTGACATCGTATCCTTGTTTCATCACATATAGAACCAGCCAGCTAAATCCAATCGATAACCAACCATGACCGAAGCAGTAGCCCTAAAGCACAACGACACACAGAAAAAGCTTACCCAGCGGGCGAGGAATAGAGAAGCGCAAGCCCGTCGCCGGACAACGTCAAAGGCCAACGAGGATACCATCACGGTCTTGAGATGGGGTTTACGGGAAATCGCTCGTGCCACCTGTCAAGGGGATTTTATCCATGTCCAGACTATCTTGAGGAGCTTGGATCCATCGCTCATGAGTCCTGACCCAGGATCGGTGGCTCCAAGTTTGCAATGGTGCGACAGTTTCCCTGATACCACAAGTGCCTGGGGGGCTTCTTCTTCGCTACTTGGCACAGCCGATTTTAATCTTCCTTTATCACCTTTCACAAATTTTGGGACAATTGGTCAAGAACGGCCCTATCAAATGGTCTCAGAAGTTGAGGGCTGGAGCCCGTCGACAAATATCAACCAGGTTGCTGGCACCATAACTGCTCTCAACTGATCTCCAATGCAAAATAAGCATTCAGAGAAACGAACTAAAACATTCAAGACACTGAAAGACCTTTCGAGGGCGAGGCATCACGTGCGCATACTCTCCACGGGAGCAGGCTGAATGATAGTTTACTGGGAAGGCAGGCGTTTATTCGTTCGGGTAGTTGAGGGAGTAGCTGTATCGCTTATTGGCGTTCCGTATTTGCTCTTGTAGCGGTAAATTATAACCACCAATCCTTTCTCATTTTCTCTAACCATCATTTTCCCTGGGATTCGTAAACATC